TCTATAAAATGTTACATACATTTTCAATTTTCCAGAATATCTTTAAATAATTCTTTATAGACATAATTCTTCACAATCGTATTGTGTCGTAGACTTCCGAGGTAAATTTTCACTGATTTCCAGGATCGCACTCGTGACAGGGCTACATATAATTGACCATGATTAAAGACATCTTTTCGTAGATCAACTCCAATTTTTTCAAAAGTTTGGCCTTGTGATTTGTTGATTGTAATTGCAAATGCTAATTTAATAGGAAATTGTCTTCGTGTAAAAGAAAATGGGTATGTATTTTCACACAGTAGGGTAATTCGATTTAGAATTATTATCTCTCCTGCTTTATCTCCAGTTAAAAGTTCACATCGTAATAGATTGGTTCCAGCTTCCAATAACAACAATCTAGAACCATTAACTAATCCTTCGTTGATGCTTAGATTTCTTATCAACATGATAATTGAAAATTGTCTCAATCGTAGTTCATGCGGTGGAAGAGAGCTTGGAGACAAAGTGTTTAGGTATTCCGGAACTAAATCTTGATTGATTCGATCATTTTCATTACAATTTTCTGTACTATCCACACTGGTATATATGTGCTCAGTAGCTAAATCCAATAAACCAACAACTTGTTGATTGATTTCATTGACATCTAAATTTCTTGCTGCTAATACTGCATATTTTGAGGCTTCTTTGAATTTTTTCTTTCCAAGTACATCTTTGTAGATATCTTTTGCAATATCAATGTCATCATTATAGGTACAGAATTTGGGTAATTCCAGATTATCTTGTTCATCATTCAAATCTCCAGTTCCAACTTGTAGTAGAAATTTAGAAAATTCTTTCTCTTCACGTAGTGTACGCATATTTGTAGTTAATTTGAATATTTTAAAAATTGGCCACAATGAACTGAATTTGATGGATAAGTTTACTGTTTCACTACGAGTACCACGAATATTTACTGGAAGTAGTTGTCTAAAATCTCCACCCAATATAACTATTTTTCCTCCAAATGGTAGTGTGTTATCCATAATATCCTGTAGGAGTCGATTCATTATTTCCAATGCATATCGTGGTGCCATAGGTGCTTCATCCCAAATGAAAATATTTGTTTCTTTCAAAACATTTGCTTCTTTTGTTCCTATTTTGATGGTTGATGTCGAGTCGACGTACAACGGAACAGGTAATCCTAATGTCTTGTGGACTGTTTTACCATATGGTAACAATGTAGCAGCTATTCCAGTGAAAGCCATAGTATTGACTTTCTTTTTCTGACCAGTGAGTAAATGCCATAATGTGATATATATAAATGTTTTGCCTGATCCTCCTGGTCCATCAATATAAAATGTTTTTTCTGAGGATAATCCATTTATACTTTCAATGATTGTATCAATTATGATCTTCTGTTGTTCATTCAATTTTTTGTATTGTGTTATTCCAATTTCCATTATTTTATCGTAATCTACTTCATTGATGTGATTACGATTATCACTTTCTATAAGAGATGGCATTGATGGAAAATCTGCTTGATTTTTTCCTTCATCTTCCAGAAACGTGTATATTTGTCGTAGAGCTTTAATTTCTCTTTGCATTGGATCCATTTCACGAGAGAAATCTTCTGACATTGCTATTTTGAATTCATCCCATACTTGTTCTGGATATAAAGGATTACAATGCACCAGAATACGAGTAAATAATCTCCGCATTTGTAGAGGCATCATCCAGATTTCAGCTTCATGCAATGCTCTATACCATTCAGAATCATCTGATATCAAACCCCGTTTGAGACAGGCTTCAGTAAATGATGATGCAAGTTCTCCATTTACTTTACGCAAGTTCTCATAACTTGTCGCTCCTTTCACAGTTAGTAATAATAGCCGTAAATGGAATAATTCTTGTTGTGCCGGATTCACTGAATACATTCTTCCAATAGTTTTGAATGAACTCTTCCTCTTTCTCCATTTCGATATATATATGTTATCAATTTTTTCTTTATGAAAGACATAATGGCATGGTATTTCAGTATAGAGATAATTATGTGCATTTTCATCACGCAAATTTAATTCAAAATAATCGAGCAGCATATTTTTTTGTTCTAAGATATGATTTAGAGTAAATTCTTCATCTTCAGAATGAATGGTAATTTTTTGTTGATTTGGTAAATGTACGGGCATACGGATAACAGGATGACTTTTATCTTGTAGCTTTTTGCTCAAGATTCTCCAGCAAGCTTCTACTGGTCCTACGTACCGAGCTTCTATATGTTCATTGATTTCATCGTAGATTATTTCGTCAACATTTGCAGCTTCTCCTTGAATAGTTATTGTAGCAGCATCATGACCTTTATAAATGTATTTGAAAAGGTACTTCACTGATTTAATACTTGAAACCAATTCCACATTGCAATGACAATTGAATTTGCGTAGGAGTATAGGGGAATATGGCACGACAAAACGATTATTCACAACATATCCATGTGGTCGATTATAATATTTTCCTGTATCTTCTCGTTTATAATATGGATAACCATCTTCATCCATAGTAGTTGTTGCTTGAAAAGATTTTGGAAAATGTTTTGAACACTTCTTATCTTTCAAACACCAGTCTCCACAAGGTCCATGTATCATATTATG